GCAGCGAGACTAGGCCGGATACCGAAGCACCGCACGATTTGGAGGAGTCCAAGGCGTTGGATCGAGTCGGCTGGAGTGTCGATTGCAAAGAAGGCAGCCCCACGTTGCCTTGACGAGGGCATCGCGTTCCATCTCCACCGCTAGGAAGAGCTTCGTGTGAGCATCGTGGCGCAAAGGAATATTTGCTCTGTTAGTACCTATCATGGCAGCAAGTATCGTCGTCAGGCATCAAACATTGATCGTTTTCTAGTTTTCCATGAAAAGTTTTGAGAACATTCGCATAGAATCAAACACATTCCCTCAGGCGGATCATCATTCGCCTGCTGCACTTTCCACACACCTCAATCACTAGGTATTGCAAGGTATCTGTCTGATTGAAGTTGCTCGCGATCTCTCAGAGCCTCTGGTGATTTGGTCCAGGAGGTCCACGCTCAGATCCTGGGAATGTTGGGTGTTATATAGACAAATATTTTGTCAATATTTGAATTTATCAAGCATGAAACGCAATTGGTCCTTCTAGTCTTAATTCTCGAGCAATTTGACAACATAATCCAGGCAGCAGTTATTTTTTCCTTAGATTCTATCAATGCCAAGCCCATACATTTGCCAGGAGAGGATACATAGCTCTGCTGCTCGCAATTCCAGACACCCATTTTGATACACAGGTTCCACACTTGAGGCTCCGACATGCAGCTAAAAGGCACAGCCAATCCAAAGAAGTGGGAACAAATGGCATGTTTTCGATGAGTTCTCTTGCATTGTCAATGTAACCAGCTCTTGCTAAGCCATCGATTATGCAGGAGTAATGCTGGTGACATGGCTGAATGCCACAATCAAAAGCCATTGAACCAAAACAACTTCTAGCACATTTAACACTGCCAACTTGGCCGTGAGCATTGAGAGCGGAGGCAAATCCAACTTGGTTGTAAATGCCGGCCATCTGCATAGTGTGAAACAACTCAAACATAGAAACCGAATCCCCTGCTTGGGTACATGCACTGAGCATTGCATCCCAAGAAACTTCATTCTTCCCTGGCATCTGGGCAAAAGTTTTTCTTGCAAATAAACTCTGGCCACTAAGGCCATAGCCAGCAAGCATTATAGTCCAAGAAATTACGTCCTTCTCCACCATTGCATTAAACATGACCTTGCTTCTGCCATATACCCGTTTTGGGCATAAGCATCAAGCATGGTGTTCCAAGAAACTAGCTGCTAGTATGGCATTTTTTCCAAAAATCGTCGTGTCAAGTCCATATCTCTTGATCCCATACAGCAGTGAACTCCGCGATACTAAACTCCAACATGGCATTTTTGTCAAATATACACTTTGCCTGCTCAACTTTGCCAGCGTGGGCATATCTAGCATGGTGTTGCATGCGTGGTGTTGCATGCGACTGGATTCTTGAATGGCATTTTTTGAAAGATGTCCTCGGGCATGAAGATGCTGCCAGCGTGCACACATGCTGCCAGCATCGCGGTCCATGTTACCATGTTTCAGCATGGCACTCTATCAAATAGTGATTTAGCTTCCAAAAGATACCCTGATTGGGCATATGCAGAAATCATTGACGTACACGAAACTAGATTAATTTCTGGAATGGCTTCGAATATATTCTTTGTTTCCTGTAAACTAGAATTTGCAGCAGATTAACATCACAGTCCAGGAAAGGAGACTTCTCTGAGGCATAGAATAAAACACACGCCTTGCCTCCTGCGGGATACCCACTTTGGGAATATGAATTCAGGATACAGTTCCAAGCAGCTAGATCTCTTTCTGGCATTTTCTCAAAGATGTCAAAATTTCTATTATTCGCATGCAACGTTAAAACCACCGTCCAAGAGATCATATCTCTCTTGGGCATGGCATCAAACACCTGAACCATCTCGTTGATATACCCATTGTAGGCATATGCAGAGATCATGGTGTTCCAAGACACTAAATCCCTGTGAGGCATTGATAAAAAAGGCAGCGACTGCTGGTAACGACTGCTCATATTGTATATATGAAGCTATATATACATGGGCTGTGGCAACTGCCTAATGCCACATCATCCTAACTGCCTAACTAAGCATCTACCTGAGCATCTACTCTCAACACTCCCACTCAGGCGTGTCTACAAACTAAGACAAAGCCTGAACATAAGATGCTCAGCATGCATACAACTGACAACATCTTGTTGCTCTAGGGCTTGCTGCCTCTGCCACTCTTGGCTGCTTTGCCACGCTCCTTTGGCTGTTGCTGCTCCTCTCTTGGAGCTCTTTTGCCACTGCTGGGCTTCTCAGCCAACTCTGCCACTGCTATCTGCCGCCGCTCACTTGGCTGCTGCTGCTCCTCTCTTGGAGCATCTTGGCCACTCCTGCCGCCGTTCTGCTTCTTGGCCTGCTGAGTCACTGCTCTGCTGCTCCTGGGCTTCTTGGCTGCTCTGCTGCTCCTCTCTTGGAGCATATCAGCATCTTCTGCCGCTCCAGGGCTTCTGAGTCGCTACTATCTGCCGCTCCTCACTGCTGGTATGGCTCTGCCATTGCTTTGTTGCTGCACTCTAGGCTACTCTGCTTCTGCCATTGGCATCTGGAAGCTTCTTCTTCTTCTTCATCCTTCACAGGTCCTCAAGATCTGTGCTCTGATACCATGATAAAAAAGGCAGCGACTGCTGGTAACGACTGCTCATATTGTATATATGAAGCTATATATACATGGGCTGTGGCAACTGCCTAATGCAACATCATCCTAACTGCCTAGCTAAGCATCTACCTGAGCATCTACTCTCAACAGGCATGTTGTTAAAGATTCTGTAAGCTTTTTGTACACATCCACACCGACCAAATGAAGATAACATCATGTTGAAAGAAATCAAACTCCTCTCTGGCATTTGGGAAAACATCAGCTTGGCCTCTTCCATATGACCATTTTGTGCATACAAAGAACCAAGACACCGAGTCCTTGTTCCCACTTGTTTTTTATGCATTATAAAATAATAAAACCATGATATAATTATATTTGTTTGAGCTGCCACTTAGAGGTTATTAATATTTAATATAGTCATAGAGATAGATTATCATCACTTAAAGAAGTTTTTGGGTTCTTTTGATTCTTGAGTTATAAATTTTTGGATTTTCATTTTCTTTCCACCAAGTTACAAAAGCTATTGGAAGTAATCCAAAAAAATATTGTGTTCAAACAAGGCTAGGGCTAAAGTTCCTAGAACAATCTAACCACACTAATTGCATAAAATTTTTAATTTATTTGTAGATTGTAAGCAACTAAAGAGAATAATTTGTATATGGGTTCAAATATAAAAAGAAAGAATTTATTACATCTCATTTTTTAATTAGTTAAAAGTCTTGGGATATTTGGGGTTAAATATATTTGGGTTTAAATAGTGACCTTTTAAGAAATCTAAACTCTATTAGTTAGATAAGAGAATCATACCATATGTTTAATTAACACCTAGCAAGAGAGTAAGGCTCTCAAAAGAGTCATGAAGAGCTATTTGAGAGACATTTAAATATAGATGGAAAAAGCCCATGAATAAAAGTTTACCATTTTTTTCCAATTGGTTAAGAGTCTTGGAATACTTAATGCTTCTGGACTTGAGAAATAGTAAAATATTTTGTAAGCAACTAAATTTTCCATTCTACTTTAGTCACTTAACCACATCTCCAACCACTTAGAGGAGTTTCACTCACAAACTCCATAAGTTTTATTCCAAACTTGGGAATTTACTAACCCTGTAAATGGCATTTATGCTACTCAACCTTTGCACTTAGTTCAAGTGCTCCATGTATCTGATTTTATGATTGACACCCCAAAGGTATTATCGATATATCAACCTATTACACTAAAACTATATTTATTTACTTTTGTTTCATTGGTAATCCTAGACCACCCATGCCATAGTTCCATCTCTCAAAGACTAAGCCATCCATCATGAGTGGTAATCCCAGAACCACTCTTTATCATCTTTAGGATACTTAAAGATATAAAGAACAACCTTCCCTAACATCCTTTTTTCGGTCTCCACTAAGTCTTTGTTTATCCCAAGTTGTGTTCATCAACACTGCCACTGGGTCAAGGCCCAAAGGCCCAACCACTATGTCCTATTGACTTCTAGGACTTCCTTGCTACATGACTGCATCTTTAGCCACTACATTAAAGGATTATTCTTCTTCCTTTCTATAGTCTGGGACTTTAGAACAATATTTCGAAACACCATGGCCCTATGTAAGATTTGTGGGTACTCTCCCTATCTTTTGTCTTTGGGTGCCCTAGTCATGTGGCTAGAGTGAGGTTCCAATGAGCCATACCAAGTATCCAAGTAGGTAGTGCCATCCACACTTAGATTAGGAATATCAATCATTTGATCTCCTGAGGGAGCTAGAGTTGACTCTTGAACACTTCATAAAGTTACCCCACTTGTCTATTTGTGTTCACTCTAGCCTTAAACTCCTCAATGGTTATAATATCACACAATTTGTAAGTATAACCTTCCTTGGTCACACTAGCCTTTTCTGGCCAAACTAACTCCACTAGAGTCCTCCCTCTACTATAAGTTTGGAGTTTACCAAACCCCCCAGGGTTTAAGAGATGATTGCTTTGGGCTTTCACCCTTAGATTTGAACTCAGACTTAGACTTAGACTCCATCTCGAACTTGGTTTCAGACTTGGTCTTAAATTTGGTCTTAGTCTCGGTCTCTTTCTCAGCCTCGACCTTGGACTCTATCTCAGGTCCATCTAGGACTTGACCTCAGACACCATCTCAGACTCCATCTCAAACTCCATCTCAGGGCCATCTCGAACTCTATCTCAGATCCATCTTAGACTCCATCTCAGGTCTATCTCAGATTCCATTTTAGGTCCATCTTAGACTCCATTTCAGACTCCATTTCGGGTCCATATTGGGTCCATCTTGGGTCCATATTGAACTCCATCTCAGAATCCATCTCGGGTCCATATTGGACTCTATTTCAGACTCCATCTCAAAGTCCTTCTTGAACTCCATCTTGGACTCCTTCTTGGACTCATTCTTGAGACTTCTATGTATCATGACACTTGCTATGTGTCAATCCTCCTTGTGTCCCTTTTTAGAGACTTATTTACCGATTGTTTCATGCTCATTCCTCAAGCATTTTATTCAGAGTTCCACTCCCACTCTCGACTTTCCAAGTCAGAGCCTTTGGTTCAAACAAGTTACGTTTGTTAGACTGTAAGCAACTAAATTTTCCATTTTACTTTAGTCACTTAACCACACCTCCAACCACTTGGAGGAGTCTCATTCACAACCTCCATAAGTCCAACTCAGGACTTGGGGCTTGCTAGCCCCGAGAATGGCATCCATGCCACTCAACCTTAGCACTTGGTCCAAGTGCTCCACGTGTCTGATCCCATGATCGACACCCCAAGGTATCACCGACATATCGGCCCGTTACGCTAAGGCCATGCCCAATTACCTTGGTCACACTGGGGGTCCAACGCCACTTGCATTCCCATCCCGTCTCTCACAGACTAGGTCATCCGTCCATGAGGGATCATCCTAGATCCACTCCTTAACATCCTTAGGATGCCTACAGACATGGGGAATAGCCTTCCCCAATATCTTTGTTCCGGTCCCCACCAAGTCCCTTTTTGTCCTTGGCTGTGTTCGCCAACACTGCCACTGGATCAAGGCCCACCGGCCCGACCACTAAGTCCCACTATCCTCTAGGACTTCCTCACTGTGTGACTGTGTCCTTGGTCACCCCACCAGAGGGCTACCCCTCTTCCTTTCCACAGTCTGGGACTTTGGGACACCATTTCGGAACACCGTGGCCCTACGCGGGCCTCATGGGTACTCTCCCCGCCTTCCGCCTTTAGGTGCTCTAGCCATGGGCTTAGAGCGAGGTTCCGTTGAGCCACGACAGGTATCCAAGTAGGTAGTGCCACCCACACTTGGACTGGGAGCATCGGCCAGTCGATCTCCCGGGGGAACTAGAGCCGGCTCTTGAACACTTCACCAAGCTGCCCCACTTGTCGGTCTGTGTTCACCCTAGTCTTGGACTTCCCAGTGGGCAGCTCATCACCCAACACTGGGTCCGGCCTTCCTGGCCAAACTGGCCTTTCCTGGCCAAACTGGCTCCACTGCAGTCCTCCCCCTACTATACTTTTGGAGCTCACCAAACCCCCTAGGGTCTGGGAGACGAACGCTTTGGGCTTTCACCCTCTCAGACTCGAACTCGGACTCGGACTCGGACTCGGACTCGGACTCGGACTCGGACTCGGGCTCGGCCTCAGTCTCGGTCTCGGTCCCGATCTTCATCTCGGTCTCGGTCTCGGTCTCGGTCCCGGTCTCGGTCTCGACTTCGGACTCCATCTCAGGTCCATCTCGGACTCCATCTCAGACTCCATTTCGGACTCCATCTTGGACTCCATCTCGGGTCCATCTCGGACTCCATCTCGGACTCCATCTCGGGTCCATCTCGGGTCCATCTCGGACTCCATCTCGGACTCCATTTTGGGTCCATCTCGGGTCCACCTCGGACTCCATCTCGGACTCCATCTCGGACTCCATCTCGGACTCCATCTCGGACTCCATCTTGGGTCCATCTCGGGTCCATCTCGGACTCTATCTCGGACTCCATCTCGGGTCCATCTCAGACTCCATCTCGGACTCCATTTCGGGTCCTTCTTGGGTCCACCTCGGACTCCAACTCGGGTCCATCTCGGACTCCACTTCGGACTCCAACTCGAGTCCATCTCGGACACTCCCACGTGTCATGTGTTGGTCCTTTTGGGTCCCTTTTTGGAGCCTCGCCTTTTGCTCGCTTCGTGCTCGTTCCTTGAGCACTTCGTTGGGAGTTCCACTCCCGCTCTTGACTTTTCAAGTCGGAGCTTTTGGTCCAAACGTGTTACGCTCGTTTGGCTCTCGTTTCGGCCACTACCATGTGGTGCCCTTCCGGCTCCACTTTGGGGCCTAGGGATTTTGTGTCTCACAACTCCACCACCCATAGACGAAGTTCG